ACGATAGTAAAACACGACGTACGGATAGGGTTAAAAAAAAGAAAAGGGACAGTCAAATACGTGACCACCAAAGCGGGCTGAGAGAGATACAACGCTCCATCCAGCAGACAGACTGAAATACTCGATAACAATTCTCCCCACCCGAGTATCGAACTCGGGCTAAGATCGTTCAAACAAGATAGTTCACTCCTCTCTTTGAACTAATTTAAAAAGTGTCCTCAATATCTGGTGGCGTCCTCTTCGGAATAAGCGCTCGCTTTGCGAAAAGAGTTACCCTACTTGTGGGGATAAAAATCAAAGTGGAACTAAAAAGTTTTGTACGAATTAGAATTGAAATTTCGGAATAATGGTTAGGCTGACAAAAATCCTCTTCAGGTGAAAGGGGCGACTGTTTTCGTCGTTTGGTTTGGCTTTAGAACGAGAGGCGGGAGATCATTAATATAAAATAAACCCAAAACTCCGCACTGAGCGAACCGGAACAGCTGATGCGCAAAGGGGTGCTATTCCTATTCTTCTTCTGGAGAAACGAAAGACAACTTCAAAACAAAGACTGCAGCGCCATCTGAACCAATGCGCGGACTTCCACGGACAATTTTTTGGCCGAGTAAACTGTCTTGTTGAAGTTATGAACGATCTTTGACTCGGGTCCCCTGCGTGTAAAGGTGAAGCCGCTAACCTTTACACCCTAGAACTAGTCGCTGATAAATTATTGTTTGTATTTGGTCGCTTTTAGGGACAGGCGGGCTAACCCAGATTTCGGGGGGTTTCCAGAAATCCTGGCCTACACCAAATGTGGGCATTTCCCTACCTATAGGAAAGGTTTGTTTTCATTTGTGTGTTTATTTGTTTGGTTATAGAGAAAACCCTCCTTGTCTTTTAAAGAAACTGAACAAGGGGCAAAAGCTTTACCTTTGATTTTCTCAACCAAGCATTTTTTTGGGATAGCCCCCTTGTGCTTAAAAGAGACCCTTTCTTCTTCAACATCCTGTGATTAGGTCGAGGGTTTGAATGTAGATTCTCTTGTTCTTCCTCAGTCGAGCCTCGTATGAAATCATCGAGACGGCGGTGGAGTTAGGGCTGACTGGACCCGACTATATCTGGATCCTCACTCGCTCCTCGATACCTACCGGGAAATACGGCGTGAAGAGCTTCCCGATTGGCCTTATGGGTAAGGATTAATGTATGTCTGTTTGTTTGCTCTCTCCCAACCCGCCATCCCCCACCCTCCATTTCCCACCCCATCCAGGTGTAAAAGGGGCAGATCTACAAACCAACTAAAGACAGGGAAGGTTTTGTGAATGTAGGTGTTTCACCTAAGAGATGACAGCCTCCGAACGGCTCCAGACGACAATTAGTAGGACCCGTATTCACGCTTCTGTCATCTAGGTTTGCCGGCAAATAGTACCTGTTTACATCTATAGAATTGCAGAGAGGAAACAATGACAGTCAAGAAAAGATGTGTTTCTTTGTGTGTTTATGTGCGTGTATGTGTGTACTTGTGGGTGTGTGTGAGTGTTTGTGTGTGTATGTGTGTGTATGTGTGTGTTTGTGTGTGTGTGTGTATACGTGTGTGTGTACGTTTGTGTGCATATGTATGTGTGTGTTTGTGTGTTTGTATGTGTCTGTCTGTGTGCGCATGTATTTGTTTTGTTTTGTTGTCTTTTTATTGGGGAAGGGAGGGGGTGAGGTGAGATGTATGGATTAAATGAAAATTACTCTCATGTATAAGTATTATAATTGTTGACCCAAGTGTCACACCACTACTCATTCCCATGGAAATACAGGAACCTAATTATACTTAATCTTTTCCGACAACTCGTGAGTTTTGAGGCTGTGTTAATTGTTGTTATTGTCATGGAGTTTACAAATATTAGTGTTTCTATAATGACCACAACATGTACATTAATTCTTTCTAACCGAGAAAGTTCAAAATGCCGTGCCTATAACTACGCTGTGTTTTTGTTATCATAAAGCGGAGCAACAAGCAGTGGTACTACGCGCGCATTCATTGCCACCTGTTTGTTAATGAGTGTATAATAATTACTTTAATTCACTTCATTTACTATGATTATGAGTATGAGTATGATTTTGGCGCCAGTAAGGCTCGTAAAGGTGTTATATAGGCCAAATTTGCCCTTGGGTACATATAATATTTGGTTAATTAGAATGGTTTTCTTTGTGTTTGTTTTCTTTGTTTGGGGGGATGGGG